AGGCCGACGCTCTATCCACTGAGCCAAACCAGTTTCGGCTCTACTTTGAATTTAAATTAGGGTTACAAAATGGTATGTGGCCTCCCCGGTTGGCTTTACTTGCATTTATCCAATGGTTGCTTCCTCTCCAGGGAAAAATCTAGGACACAGCGAATGAGGGAATGAATGGCAGATCGAGAAGGCTACAGGAGACCAAGGTGACTTAAGTCAGTGATTTCCACCAGGTGTGCCCCAAGAATTTTTAAAACGTGTAATACCTGACTGTTTAGTCAGGGGCACTGACCTCTCTTCCCTTAGATTGTCAAATAAAAATAAATGACAACAGCTGACCGGTGTGAATGCCCTGTCTTGAACCATAAACATATACATCATATAATAGAGTTGCATCCTATTGGTCACGTCACATAATAAGGTCGTGTCTGACTGGTTAATTCTTGATACTAGAAATCTATATACAAGTATAGGCACCCGATTTTTTCAAAAGTCACTTTGGAGCCTAAAAAAGGGTAGGTAATTATTATATACACACACATATATAGTCAGATCTGAAAAAAAAATTTTTTTTTTTTTGGTGTGCTGCATAATTTTCATTAGTTTATGAGATGAAAAGGGTTGAAAATCGCTGACTCAAGTCATTAGTAGGCAAAGTGGTCATGGTGACATGGAGGTTCCATAGTTTCTCAGATAAAAAGGACAATAATCCAGCTATTATATATAAAAGAATTACATAAACTATCATATCACAACAATAAATATAACAAATAACTACTTCATTGAGTTGTAAGGCATGTGATAAAAATAAACGGTGATGGTAGCAGCTCAACAAGTGACAGTACTGAGTAGATAACATTTGGGTGAAGAACCGGTGAGCCGCACTGAAACCGCCAAAGCAGAAATGGGAAGGCAAACAGCTCTGAGGCCAAAGGGAGGCCAAGGAGTTCCCCTCAGGTGTGCCAGTCCCTAAGGCGCTCCGGAGGCAGAGCCAACGCCTGCTGCTCCTTCCAGGAACTGAATGAGAAGTGGAATGCAGAAACATAGCTGCTTCTAGAAACAAACAATGTTACAAAAATAAAACCACATCACTCCTCTTTAAACCTATTAAAGGCCTATGGAAAAGTCATCCTCAAAACAACAAAAAGTGACCTTTTGTCACCAAAAAACAGCACATTTTTTGGCACCCATGGTGGGTGGGATGTGAACATGTGGACAGACCTGGGGACCCCCTCTGTCCATCTCCATCCCTCGCTTTGTCCTGGAACCTATGGCAGCTCCCCTCAGCCCAGCCAGTCACAGTTCCAAACTACAGCCCTGGGGCCCAGGACCCACCTGAGCTAGCGCACCCAGTGGGGGGTGCCAGGTGGGGGAGCTGCTTCTGCCATCTGTCCGCTCAGGTTGGGCCTTTGCCTGACCCCTTTTCTGAGTTCCCTCCTTCATCCTCTCTCCCTCCAAGCGGCCTTAATTTGCCTCACCACCTCCATCAAAGCTTTTCCTTTTTTTTTCACTGAACTTTCACACCCACTTCAACTGGGAGCTCACATTTAGTGCAAGTCCATTTAGCCCTCGTGGTTGTAAGTGATGAGTTTGTGCTCAGGGAGGGTCTTGGAGCTTCAGGGTCCCTGGCAGTGCCCAGCACGGTGCTAGGGGCGTCACAGACACTCGGAACATCCTAGGTGGTCAATAAAACACTCCTTCCGTCCCCCAATGACAGCGGAGTGCTGCACCCACCGAGGTAAATTATCCCGTGGATCCGATCCAAATCACACTTCTGTATTAATTACCAAGCTACTTAAGGCAAGAATGTTTCCTGGTCTTAATTATTTGAACTATTATTTTAATTGTCACTTCTCAGCTAGAGGCTCCACCATATGTTTGCTCAACACCAAAGGCTGGATCTTCACAAACAAGGCAACGTGAACAAAATTATCCTCCAAGGTTAGTTCCTCAGCAGCATTCTCAAAGGGGGGAGCATGCCTGTAACTCAGGCTTCCAAATGTTGTCCTTGGTAGCTTTCGCTAGGAATGCTCCACATAGTATTCTGGTTTGAAATATCTACCTAATTACCTCAACCCCTCCCTCCCATCCCATGGTGAGAGAGCCAAGGCCGGGTTGAGGGGGTTCAAGTGTTTCCAAAGAGCAAGACTGTCCCTTTCCAAAAAAGAACGAAAAGACAACCAACAGACCCCCCCCCCCCCCACTCAACCCCCCAACAAAAAAACCTGTATCACCAGAAGAATGTAAAATGTTTCCGGGATGGAGAGAGGGTCTATTTTAAATTTACGACTGCTTAAAAAGGCTCCAAGACACTCCTCCCCCCCCCCCCCGCCCCCCGCGCGCCCCAATGGAGGAATGCAGTGAAAAGACTGGCAGAACCCCTCGGAGAGCTCGGGGCCCTCCCTCCAGACCGGGTTCTTACTCACATCTCTCCTTTCAGCCCGCAAACCGCCCGCCCCCGCCCCCCGAGAACCGTTCCCCCTTAAAAGCCCCCGCCCGCCAGGAAACATCCATCTGCTCTGCAAACACGCGGCCCAGCCTGCGCTTTACAGTCTCTTTCCCAACTCCTTCCCCCACCGCCCCGCTTTTTTTATACCTTGAGACAAATGTTTTTTTCCCCCGGAGTTGAAAGCCGTCCAAAAACAGGACCACACACGCCGCCGCCTCCGCGCCGCGCCCGCCCCCGCCCCCCCGCCCTCCCCTGCGCGGCGGCCGCCGGGGGCGCGCACTCCCTCCGGCCCGAGGGGTGGCCTCGCCCCGCGCGCCCCCGCCCGCCCCTCCGGCCGCGGTGGGTGGGGTGGGGAGGCGGGAGCCAGGGCCCGCGGCCAGGAGCGGAGGGGCCTGCCCGGGGCCGCCTCTCGGGGCGCGGCGGCGGCGGGCCCCCCGTCCCCGGCGCGCAGTGGTCAGGCCCGCGGAGCCCCGCGCCCGCCGCCCGCCCCACCGCACCGGCCCCGCGCGGGCCCCGAGCCGATCACAGCGCGGCCTTTGTCGGGCGGCCTGGCTCGGGGCCAGGCGCCCAAACAATCCGTCCCTCGGTGCGGCCCGGGCTTCCCCTCGCCGCCGGGCCGCGGGTGCGCGCCGGCGAATATCTTCATCAGGCGGGAGGGGGGAGGGCAGGGTCCGGGGGGCGGGCGCGCGCGCGGCGGCTCTTACCTTCCACCCAGAGCTCCTCCACGTTGGTCTCCAGATTGGCCGCCTTTAATCCCACAGCGAAGGCCCCGAATATGAGCAGGCCCACGACCAGGAACTTGCCGCAGTTTCTCTGGATGTAGCATCCCAGTTTAAACAAGAGTCTCTGGAACTTCGCTCGCAGCCACAGCGGCGCTCTCCGGCCGGTAGCCTTCCCCTGGGGACGGAGCAGAGGGAGGAGGGTGAGCCGGGAGCCGCGGACCCCGCGGGGGTGCCCTCGAGGCTGGAGCCCCCGCCCGCGCGGGGGACGCGGCGTAAATCAGAGCCGGGCTGCAGCGTGGGAGCCGGACCTCGGCGGCAGCAGGGGCGCCACCACGCGTGGCCTGCGCGGCACCCCCCGTGCGCCGTTGGCCGGGTTGCGGGTTTAAGAACCGGGGGAAGGGGAAGCTGAGGCAGAGGAAAGAAATCCCTCAACACAGGCGATAGCCACGCCGGACCTGGTCAGGGAGAGGCGGCGTGATCCCTGCAAAGGAGCCCAACACAACACAACCCACAAAGCTCGGCTCCCATCCGCGCAGAGCCTGCCCCCCCCCCCCTTCCTTTGGGGTGCGCCTGGAGGGACGTGGGTTGGAGGCTTGGGGAGCAATGTGGTGCGGAACCCCCGGGCTGACCCTCGCCGGCGCGGCAGGAGGGGGACACACGTGGTGAGCGCGGCCGGGCGCTCTCCGGACGCATTTCCATGGCGCTGGGAGACGCCTGTGAGCTGATAGGAAGCGGGGCAGCCATCTGCAACTTACACTGTTTGTGATCGGAAGAGGGCAGCCACAAGGATCTTTCCCTCCTCTCCCTCTCCTTCTCGGGAAACAGAGAGAGCAGCGGAGTGCACAAGGGAAGGGCCCAGGCCCGGGGTCCCGCCTGGGCGCGGGCTGCTCGCGGCGGCGGCCGGGCTCCGGCGGGCCCCGGCCCGGGTGCTCGCCTTCCCCGGATTCCGCACATTTCAACGCGCCTTGTAAACACAATGAGCCCGGCCGCTCCGCGCACCCGGGCCGCGGATTTAAGGTGGCAGTTTGTTTACCACTTTCCCTTTCCCCCAAGGCTCTGAGAACTGGGGGGGAAACTGGGCATAAAAGAGGGGAGATGCCCTCTTCCAAAGATCGTTTTTAAAGGAGCTGAGATTTCACGCTCAACAAAAGCAAAGCCGGCTGCCAGAAAAGGAAACCACCTTTATTTCGGCTCCCTCCCCCCCTTCTCTCCGCCTCTGTACTCCGCCTCCCCCTCCGAGAGGTTAAGAAATGTGGCAGCATTGCAGGGGTCTGGGCTGTAAATAGGGGCAGGAGCGCGGGAAGGGGGAGCTCCGAGGCCGGGGCGCCGGGCAGAGCCACGGCCGCCCTCAAGGTGGTCCACGGCGGGCCGCTTCCCAGGCTCCGGAAAGCACGCGGGAGGGCGGTGCACACACACACACACACACACACACACACACACACACACTCACGCGGGCGCGCGCGCGCAGGCACACACACCCTCCACCCCCTGCGGACCTCAGACAGCCTTTCCTCCCCGGACCGGAGGGAGGGTTTGAATTTTTCAATCCCCGCTCGTCTGCCGCTTTTCCGGGAGGAGTGTGTGTGGCCGGGCGGACCCGCAGAGGAGGAGGAGGGCTGAGAGTGGGAGGAGAGGAGAGTCGGAAATGCACCTTGGAAATCTGCTCCAGAGCGAAGGCGGCGTCGCAGTAGCTGGGCCGGTGCAGATAGTCCCGGTCCGGCGCGGCGTGGCGGCGCGGACCCCCGGTTCGCCTGCGCCTCCCGCCTCCGGCCGGCCGGCCCGGGGCCCCGCCGCCGCCGCCGAGATCCTGGGGCTCCGCGGCGCTACCAGCCGAGGCCATGTTGCCGCCGCCGCCGCGGGACCCGCGGCTTCCCGGGCCGCCCGGCGCGCTGCCGCCGCCGCCGCGGGCTCCCGGCGCGCCCCGGAGCTGGGCCGGCGAGGACGCCTCTGGCCGCCGGCTGCTCGCCCTGGGGCTCCGGCTGACAGACCTGATCCCGCTGCTGCCGCTGGCGCTGCTCACACGGCGGGCGCTGCTGCCGCTGCGGCCGCGGCCGCTGCCGGGGAGTCAGACCCTGCGCCTTCCATTGCCACATTGCGCGGGAGTCCCGAGGTCTCTGCGGCCGCCGCTGCCCACATCCAGGTCCCGGGGAGGCGAGAGCCGGCGCGCCGAGCCGGCCGGTCTTCCGGGCGCTCGCGTGGCGCTCCTCGCGGTCCCCGACTCCCCCTGCCCGCCCCCCGCCCCGCGCCGCGACCCCTTCACTGCAGAGCGCGCCCGCGAGTCCCCGCCGCTCCCGCCGGCCTCGCCGGCTCCCTCGGCGCCTCCCGAGTCGCCCGAGCGGCCGCGGAGGGCGAGCGCAGAGCCGCCGCCGCCGGGTCGGTGGGCGCCCGGAGGGTCTCAGCGCTGCCGGGCAGGGGCCGCCGCCGCCGCCGCTGCTCCCACGGCTGCCGCTGCTGCTGCTGCTGGCGGCTCCTGATGCTGCTGCTCGGGCTGCTCGGGCTCTGGCTGCTGGGTTCGCGGTGGCTGCTCGATCCCGGACTCTGCTTTCTTGTGCTCCTCGCCGACCCCCTGGACCATTCTGCCCCCGCGCAGCGCGCCTCTCTCGCTCCCGGGACCTGGGGACTCCGCTCTGTGTGTGTGCAGCGGGCAGCGGCCGCAGCAGCTCCTTGATTCAATAGATGAGATGGAAGAAGAAAAAAAAGAACTCTCTCCATTTGGAGAAAGAGGAGGAGGGGAGGGGGTGGAGGGGGAGCGAGCGAGCGAAAGAGAAAAAGGCTGGAGCTCCCGCCCCTGGGGCTGTCAGATGGCTTGGGTTTCTGCGACGCGATTGGCTCACGGAGGGCAGAAATTACTCAGCAAACATGACTATTATTAGCTGCTTAGCAACAGCTCACCAAAGTAGAGAGACCACCCAGGTAGGCAACCCCAGTGTGTGCATCCCGGCTTCGGGGGGAGCCGCCGAGAGCGCCAACGTTCTCGCATGCAATACTTCCATTAAGGAATTGCCCCCCCCCCCACTTTCTTTTTTATTCCTTTTCTTTTCAACAGTATCTTCTTTTTGTGGAGGCCTTTTGAGCGCGCGCACACACTCTCTCACACACAAACACCCACGGACATTTGCCTCGCGATAGACGCGGGGGGAAATGTAATATTTTTTTAAGCGCTTAAACAATTTCTGAAATTCCTCAAAGAAAACCCTTTCAGAGGCACCTTGGCCTCAAGCTGCAGCAAATACTGGGAGGTCCGGCTTGAATTCCCAGGCCTGCACCAATAATGACAGGGTGGTGGATAGTACACCAGTGTGTGCCAGATTCCCCCCCCCCCCTCTTTTCTTTTATAACTAAAGAGAAGATTTAGACTCTCGCAGGGAACAACGCCTAACATTAAGATAAACAAAATGGAAAGTTAAAGAGGAAAGTAAAGACTTTGGAAAAAGAAACCCTCTCTTAAAATCCATTTCCTCGCCCCCTCCCCTTCTAAAATCACCCCCCCCCCGAAAAAAAAAAAAAAAAAAAAAACCACGGCAGCACAGTCCGGGTTTGAAAGAGGCCAAAGCATTCTCATGGAGAAAGGTGTTTTTATTTGAATATTTAATGTGACATTTTTTACAAAAAAGAAAAAGAAACAATCCTTTTAACAATCCAGAGAAACGGAATTGTTTCCTTGAGGAAGTTTTCCTATTTTGGATTTAGACACTCTACACCCCCCCCCCCCGCTTTTTCAAATTAATTTCATGTCCTTATTTAAAGTCTGTTTTCAACTTTTTTCCCCAAAAACTGGTACGCATCCTGTTATATTTAATAATAGCGTGACGATGTAGGGGACAATAAAGGCTTTGATGTTGGATTCATTTGAAACAAATTGTGGGCTGATTGCGAGGGCTCGTGGGATACTGCGGCCAGCGTCTCCGGGGCTCCGGGGGCTCTGCTTCCCGTTGGGGAAGAAAACACGCCACTCTGAGTCAAAGCGAACTGTTCACACAGCGCCCCTTTTAATTTAAACATCATTTTTGGACAGGGGGATTTGTTTTTCTTACGTTTGCAAGTTCCTCCCTGCGATAGGGTCCAGACCCCCAAACCCTCGATTCTGCCTCATTTTAATATTTGTTTCTTCCTTTTTAGAAACGGCGTTGAACCGCAGAGGGACCCGCGGCAAAAAGAAGGCGACCGCAGCCGTGAAATGGGGCCGTGTGGCTTTAAGATGCACACGGTGTGTGTTCATTGAAAAAAAAAAAAAAACGAAGAAAGGAAAGAAAGAAACCCAGATGGAGAAAGGGGGAGGAGCGGGGGGGGAGGGCGGAGCTCGCGCGGCCACGTGACCGGGACCGGCGGCGCGCGCCCGGCCGCCGGGAGGTCTCCAGCGCGCGCGCGCGCCCCCGAGTGCACGCGCCCGGGCTCCCGGCCTCCCCGCGCGCCCGGCGGGAGCAGGGAGGGAAGCCGGGGCGCTGGCTCTCCCCGCGGCGGGCTCCACTTCCCAAGCCGCCTCCCCGGAGCCCAGGCGAGGCGCGCCCCCGCCGGCGCGGACAGACGTGCCGGACGCGCCGTAGTACATTCCTGGGGGCGGTCCGGCCCCCTGACGTCGCCCAATGCCCGCCCGGCTTCCCCGCGGCCAGCCAATGGCTAAGCGCGCGGGGCCCCTTTCCATTCAGCCGCCCCGCGGCCGCGGCCGCAGAGGGACTGCAGCGCTGCCAACCGGCCACCGGGTGGGCCCACGCGGCTCCCGTGGGGGGCCTGTCGGCTAGCCCTCTCCGCCCTCTTCAGAGGTCCCCCTCCCTCCTTTCCCTCTCCCTTCTTTTTTCCTCTCCTCCTCCTCCCCTGTGCTCTCTCCTCCCTGCCCAGCCTCACTGCATTCCCTCCTGCTTTTTTTGCTTCCTGCTCTCCCTGGGAGATCCTGCCCCCTGGGTCTCGAACCGGCATAACGTTTGCGGTTCGCCGGGCCGGGTAGAGTGACCTATAGAATAAAGACAAAGAGGAAAAAGTTCGGGGGGGATTCACGGGATCAGGAGGAGGACCGGAGGACCCGGACAGCGCGGAAATTCAAAAGTCAGAACTCCAAGGGAGCACGTGCTTTTGTGTGCTGTCCTGGGAAGGGCTGCTGAAATGCAGAAGGGAAGAGGAGCACTGTCCAATGAAAATGATACTTCGTACTTAATAAATAATATCGCGGGAGAATTGAGTTCGACCATAGCCAGTTCAATCTTTGTGCAAAAGTCTTTATTATGCTTGATAAATAGCAAACAGCAGGAAAGGTGATTTACTCGTTTTTTTTTTCGTTTTTTTTTTACTGACTTGTTTTGCAGACGTGTCGTGCTTGTAGCTGAAAATCATTTTTTTTAAACTAGGTTTCCCCTAGTTTTCCATGCCAGTTTTTATATTTAAAGGTATGCTGCATGTAGCCAGACAGGTTGCTGTGTTTATCTTTTTCAAATTTCTTAACGTTTTAGGACCAAAATATTAGTTTTCCTACCAATCTTTTATTTTACAGCAATTTCAGTATGGCTGCTTGGATTGTGGATTCTAAAATGAAATTATAGGCTATGTGCCCATCATGGTTCCCCATTCCTCTCCGCAGGCAGCTGCACACCCTCCATCCTGGCTGCGGCTACCCGGGCACCATTTCAATGGCAAATTCCACTTGGGCTCATTTCCCTCGGTTTGACTTAATTCCTAAACGTTTTGAACATTGATCTCCGGGGTTTTCAGCGCCCTGCGCCCGCTCACCCGCTGTTTGATAGGTTAACTTTTCAGCATCTCAGACAATGGTCCCAGCCTGTAAATTCTACTACCCATTGGTTCCAGGGCGCAATCCCCAGCCTGGGCTCTCACAAGCGCTATCTTAATCTCCCCACCCCCACCGCCTCTTCCCCTGTGGTCTGCTCTTTCTCATACACAGAGATGAATTACTTTGAGGATCTAATTGGCCTTGTTTCTGTAACGTTTTAAGAAAGGGAAGAGGAGCTAGTGTAAAAGCCTGCTCGACTTGGGTGGTCAGGGCTGTGGCTGCCCCCAATTTGCCTCATTGCTGATGCATGCGAGTGCGACATTCCCAGCGATAATGTTGTTCCTAACCAATCTGCCCTTATTTACATTTGTAAGCATTGTCGCCTTTAATATGCATGCCCTGTGCAGGGGACCGCTGCGCCACACCGGGTGTGTTAACTTCAACTACCCACAAGGATTCCAGGGACCTGCAATGAGGTAGCTGGAGGAGCCAGGCCTACAAAAGAGTCTGCTGGGACAGTCTCTGAAATGGCTTTCCCCCTCCTGAGTTACCAAACAACTGACAGCTTTGGGCCTTCTCAACCAGACGGACCTGCTGGCTCTCTCTGGAGCAGCAGTTTGGTGTTCTTTCTCCCCTTTCCTAATAAAGTTCATCTCAGTGCATGAATGGCTATTTTGGTCTCTCCATCTCCATTCAAGTCTTCATTGGAGTCTGTCGTTTTCAAAACAGATTCCTTAAACTCTTAACATATTCACTCGTATCTTCTTTCTCTGCTCCCATACTCCATACATCCATGGCCACGCCACACACACACATCTAAAAAAATAACATCTGATTATCCAAAAGGTGACACTGAGCTAACGCATCTGCCCTGTGTATGTGGGCATCCCAGTGGTAAGCAATGGCGGGGGCTGGACTTGGTGGAGTAATGGGGAGCCAGAGTGAGATTAAACTTCCCACTGGTTGCTCACATCCAACCAAATGGGTCTTTAAAATCTAATGTACCTTAACTCATTTTTGCAGAGCACAAATGAAGAGATAAATGTGTCCTAGTAATTTGATCCTTGAGCGATGTTATAATTTTGTCTACCAATTTTAACACTCTTTTGCACAAATGCAAATGATTGCTCACATTACACCAAGTCACCAAGTCCCCCAGTGTTCTTGCAGAGAGGGTGAGATGGAGAGGAATTTGGGGTTGGATGTAATGTTCTATTTATGGGTGGAGCCTGCAGGGTGGGTCAGAGCCTGAGCAGTTCAGCAGGTGCCGTGATTAAGAGTTGAGTCTTGACTCAATTCAAGTCAGTATGCCACCAACCACCACATTTTCTTGGCTCCCTGAGAATGCCTTATTATTTTCTCATTGGCAGCTTTTGTATTTGCTAAAAAGGTGATGGTAGGAAATGAGTCTAAAAGGTTTGGGGGGGGGGGTAGATTCAGCAGTCACAAAATATAAAACCCCTAAGTATGTCTTCCCTCCCCTGCGCCCTCCCATCTTCTGTTTCCTCTCCTGCACACACACACACACACACACACACGCCCCTCAGAACTGGCGGAAAGGGAATAGCTCTAGCCAACTTGTCAAAATAATGCTGCTAATTACCCCTGATCTCCTTTAATGGGAAGCTGCTCCCAGTCCCACAAAGGAGTAAATGAGGGGTCTGAAGCACAGACCCAGGGGCACTGGCATTTTCTGAGCTGAGGGTTGGGGGTGGTGGCAGAGGGGAGATGTCCTGAGAAGGCCCCAGAAATCTCCACATTTATTACTCCAGGTTCCAACACTCGCTTGAGCAGTGGAATTAGACTGTATGCAGTGCCAAAGCTCCTGGTATTCTCTTGCTGGCAATGTCAGTCACCAAGTGCAAAGAAAATGTTCAGAGCCTACAGTGAACTTGAAAGCAAGCATAGCCTGGAGCCTTATATTGATGTCCTCCCTTGTCTAAATACCTCCTGAGCCACATTACTTTAATGGATAGAGATGTATTCTGGAAACAGCCCCACTTTGAACAATTCTCCCTCCATCTCTCTCTTGCCTCATCCCTATCTCCCCATCTAATATATCTGTATCAGAGTCTGCCTTTGGCAGGAGGCACGCTGTTCATCTCAGTGATCTCTGCCATTGGGTCTTGCATGAAAAAGAAGCTGAGCAACATGATCCCTTTGACCCACTGCTGGAGCAACAAATTTATTAGAGATATAGGCATGAGAAATGAAAGGGAAGTAAAACAATTCCAGCTTATTGTGTGTCTTTCTTTCATACTGCTAATCCGGTTTACACATCACGCCTACATGTCTCAATAGGGCTTTATACACTGTGGCAGAGGCGGGAGAAAATAAAAGGTGTGTGTGTGTGTGTGTGTGTGTGTGTGTGTGTGAGAGAGAGAGGGGGGGGGATAAACCAGGGAGACATATTTTAATCCACATTGATTTGGCTTGTCAGTTTTTCTATCTGTAGGAAGCTGAAAAGTTGAAGATGATTGGTAAAAAAAAAAAAAAAAAAAAAAAAAAAAGGCTTTTCTTTCACAGAATAGCTTCAAATGGTGCTAACTACTATTCAAATAGCTTGTTAGATTGTAAACAGAAATTATATATACTTCTTAGTGAGTCTGAAATGAAGGTTAATACCTCAGTTGAGAATGGGCCTATTGGTGTCCCCCTGGATGCAACATTTTAACATAAAAAGATCTTGGGCTCAGAGGTGTTCTGCAGCCTGGCGGAAGGACGCTGGTGACAGCTGGAACACACACAGACTCACAATGGAAAGCCCCGTGTTTTACAGCATGGGTACACAATGCACCTGAGGCAACAATTTATCCTGAGGTGCCACCCAGAAATGATGTGACAGTAACAAAGGATGACACCAAAAGCATTGTCTTTCTTTGTGGAGGCAATTAATTGCATGTTGAACTGGGGAAGCCAAAAGGAGAAGAAATTGAACACACACAGAATGCTGAAAAGATACTATTGTAGCCGTTCAAGACCTCAGTTACCCAATTATGAAATATTTAGAGCCACCCATGTGGGTCTTTATATATTTCCCCTCCCCGGGGAGGTAGGGAGGATAAATGGGAAAATAGTGCTTCTCTCTCCCACGTCCAGGAAGACAGAGGTCTCTGGGTGTCTTCCACGGGCAGCATTCCCTATGGTTCTTCTTAGATGACAGGAGTTGAGATCTGAGAACTCTGGACTTACTGATCACCCACACACTGTCATTTTTACACATAAACTTAAATACCTGGAGACACAGCACATGTCACCCCACAGGTGCAGTTCCTGGAGGTCCCGGGACCTTGCCTTGGCACCAGGTCTGGAGGAGTTTGAATGGGTCTGGCCCGCTCAGCGGCCACCCCCGGCCTCCCAGCGGCCCTCCTCTGTGAGGGCTGGCAGGCACCAGAACCCCGGGTTCTGTAGGTGATAAAGTCAACACACACCATCTCCTCCGCGCGGCCCCTTCGTGAACTCATAAAAGCCCCCCTGGCCCTTCTCCCACCAGCAGCGGCGGGGAGGCGCCGTCTGAGCGCCAGGGCTTGGAGAGTGCCTCTCCCTCCAGCCCCGGGCCCCCCCGCAGGTCCCCGGCGGCTCCCCGGAGCCCGGGGCGCGGGCGGCGGGGCGCGCACTCTGCCCGCACCTCCCCGCGGCGCTGTCACTCCGCGCCCGCCCCGCCGCCCGCTCCGTCTGCACTCGCCGCGCCGTAGCCACCGCCGGGCTGCAAATGGGATCCCGACGACCCCCTCCGTGAGAATCCCTCTGCAGCCGGTCCCCGGGCGCCGCCGCCAGCCCCCTCCCCGCCCGCGGGGCCGCCGGGGGCGCAGGGGCCCGGAGTTCGAGGAGCGAGGCGGAGGCGCGGGGCGGCCACGGCTCCCGGCGGCGCAGCCCACCCAGCCCGCCGCCCGCCCGCCCGCCCGCCCGGCCCCGTCCCGCCGCGCGGGGCGCCGGGTCCGCAGCGCCCGTCCCGGGGCGGCGGAGGCTGCACTCACCATAGCCGGCCGTCAGCCCTGCCGGAGCGCGGTGCCGATGGCGCGGACGCGGGGCTTGGGCTTCACATCAATTCCTCTTGGCCCGGCGCCCCCCTTCTCGGGTCCTCCGCGCCTCCGTCTGCTCCCCGTCTTCCCCGGCTCCCCTCGCCCGGCCGCGGCGGGTCCCTTTGTCTCCCCCGCCGCGCTCTCCCGCGCCCCGGCCCGGGCGCTCTCCGCCGCCTCCGGGGCTACAAAGGGAGCGGGGAGAGGGAGCGCCCCGGCGCGCGGGGCCGCCGCAGGCTCTCGGCGGAGTGCGGCGCGGACTCACAATTACAAGCCTGTTTCTATTAAGCAGTTCCATGGCCCTCGGCGTGGGTGGTCCGCCGCGCCATAGGCAGGACCTGTCAGGGTCACGTGACGGATCCGAAAACTTTACCCCTTCACAATAAACTCAAGGAAAGCAAAGTAAACTCGGGGA